GGTTAGAGCCAGGGGTAGGGTGAGAGGGTTGGGGTGAGAGTCAGGGGTAGGGTGAGAGGGTTGGGGTTAGAGTCTCACCCCAGCCAATCCTCCACTCCCGTGGGACACGAAGCCGATCAAAGTTCACTCGCCCAATCACGCTGCCGTCCTCCCACCCCCTGCCCCCAGGTGTAGAGTGACGCAGGTGTGTGACGCAGGTGCGTGATTAAGATAATGGGAGGGAGTGGGGGGAGGGGGGTGAGATAGAGGAGGGGGCTAGAGGGAAAAGAATGTGACCCCACCTGGGATTGGTTATCAGCCCCCCCTCTATGGGTCTCTGTGTGATTCTATGGGTGTCTGTGTGAGTCTATGGGTGTCTGTGTGTGATTCTATGGGTCTCTGTGTGAGTCTATGGGTGTCTGTGTGAGTCTAGGGTTGTCTGTGTGAGTCTATGGGTGTCTCTGTGAATCTATGGGTGTCTCTGTGTGATTTCTATGGGTCTCTGTGTGAGTCTATGGGGTTCTGTGTGAGTCTATGGGTTGTCTCTGTGAATTATGGGTGTCTGTGTGATTATATGGGTCTCTGTGTGAGTCTATGGGTGTCTGTGTGAGTCTATGGGTGTCTGTGTATGGGTCTATGGGTGTTTCTGTGTGATTCTATGGGTGTCTGTGTGAATCTATGGGTGTCATCTGTGTGATTATATGGGTCTCTGTGTGAGTCTATGGGTGTCTGTGTGAGTCTATGGGTGTCTGTGTATGGGTCTATGGGTGTTTCTGTGTGATTTTATGGGTGTCTGTGTGAGTCTATGGGTGTCTCTATGAGTCTATGAGTGTCTCTGTTGGAGTCTATGGGTGTCTCTGTGTGATTATATGGGTGTCTGTGTGATTCTATGGGTGTCTCTGTGTGAGTCTATGAGTGTCTGTGTGAGTCTATGGGGGTCTCTGTGGTGAGTCTATGGGTCTCTGTGTGAGTCTATGGGGTCTCTGTGGTGAGTATATGGGTCTCTGTGTGAGTCTATGGGTGTCTGTGTGAGTCTATGGGGTGCTCTGTGTGAGTCTATGGGTGCCCTGTGTGAGTCTATGGGTGTCTGTGTGAGATCTATGGGTCTCTGTGTGAGTCCTATGGGTGTCCTGTGGTTGATTCTATGGGTCTCTGTGGAGTGCTATGGGTGTCTGTGTGAGTTATGAGTGTCTCTGTGTGAGTCTATGAGTGTCTCTGTGTGATTATATGGTGTCTCTGTGAGTCTATGGGTCTCGGTGTGAGTCTATGGGTGTATGTGGTGATTCTATGGGTCTCTGTGTGAGTCTATGGGTGTCTGTGTGAGTCTTATGGGTGTCTGTGGTGTGATTCTATGGGTCTCTGTTGAGTCTATGGGTGTCTGTGTGAGTCTATGGGTGTATGTGTGTGATTTATGGGTCTCTGTGTGAGTCTATGGGTGTCTGTGTGAGTCTATGGGTGAATGTGTGTGATTGTATGGGTCTCTCTGTGAGTCTATGGGTCTTTATGTGAATCTATGAGTGTCTGAGTGAGTCTATGGGTGTCTGTGTGTGGGTCTATGGATCTTTGCGTGTGTCTATTGGTATCTGTGTGAGCCTCATACCTGTCAACCCAAATGGTTTACCTGTATTTTTGTACGGAGAAATTGAGTTTTCAGGTTCATGCGGCATACAACCGTTTCAATACGGGCTTTGGAGGATGAACGTTGAGATCTATAAGGGCACAGGGTGACCAATAAGGTTTGGTAGGGCACTGATAAGGTAGGGCACTGAAAGAACCAAAGAATAACACTGATAAGGGGTTTACAGGTATGAGTATATGGGTCGCTGTGTGAGTGTCCGGGTCTCTGTGTGAGCTTTCAGCCTCTGTGTGAGTCTATGGGTCTCTGTGTGAGTCTATGGGTCTCTGTGCGAGTCTATGGGTCTCTGTGCGAGTCTTTGGGTCTCTGTGCGAGTCTTTGGGTCTCTGTGTGAGTCTATGGGTCTCTGTGTGAATCGGTGGGTCTCTGTGTGAGTCTGTGGGTCTCTGTGTGAGTCTGTGGGTCTCTGTGTGAGTCTGTGGGTCTCTGTGTGAGTCGGTGGGTCTCTGTGTGAGTCTATGGGTCTATGTGTGAGTCTATGGGTCTCTGTGTGAGTCTATGGGTCTCTGCGTGAGTCTATGGGTCTCTGTGTGAGTCTATGGGTCTCTGTGCGAGTCTTTGGGTCTCTGTGCGAGTCTTTGGGTCTCTGTGTGAGTCTATGGATCTATGGTTAACTGTGTGAATCTACGGATCTGTGTGTGAGTCTATGGGTCTTTGTGTGAGTCGGTGGGTCTCTGTGTGAGTCTATGGGTCTCTGTGTGAGTCGGTGGGTCTCTGTGTGAGTCTATGGGTCTCTGTGTGAGTCTATGGGTTTCTGTGTGAGTCTCTGGGTCTCTGTGTGAGTCTATGGGTCTCTGTGTGAGTCTCTGGGTCTCTGTGTGAGTCTATGGGTCTCTGCGTGAGTCGGTGGGTCTCTGTGTGAGTCGGTGGGTCTCTGTAAGAGTCGGTGGGTCTCTGTGTGAGTCTATGGGTTCCAGTGTGAGTCTATGGGTCTCTGTGTGAGTCTATGGGTCTCTGTGTGAGTCTATGGGTCTCTGTGTGAGTCTATGGGTCTCTGTGTGAGTCTATGGGTCTCTGTGTGAGTCTATGGGTCTCTGTGTGAGTCTGTGGGTCTCTGTGTGAGTCGGTGGGTCTCTGTGTGAGTCTATGGGTCTCTGTGTGAGTCTATGGGTCTCTGTGTGAGTCTATGGGTCTCTGTGTGAGTCGGTGGGTCTCTGTGTGAGTCTATGGGTCTCTGTGTGAGTCTATGGGTCTCTGTGTGAGTCTATGGGTCTCTGTGTGAGTCTATGGGTGTCTCTGTGAGTATATGGGTCTCTGTGTGAGTCTATGGGTCTCTGTGTGAGTCTATGGGTCTCTGTGTGAGTCTATGGGTCTCTGTGTGAGTCGGTGGGTCTCTGTGTGAGTCTATGGGTCTCTGTGTGAGTCTATGGGTCTCTGTGTGAGTCTATGGGTCTCTGTGTGAGTCTATGGGTCTCTGTGTGAGTCGGTGGGTCTCTGTGTGAGTCTATGGGTCTCTGTGTGAGTCTATGGGTGTCTCTGTGAATCTATGGGTGTCTCTGTGTGATTATATGGGTCTCTGTGTGAGTCTATGGGTGTCTGTGTGAGTCTATGGGTGTCTGTGTATGGGTCTATGGGTGTTTCTGTGTGATTTTATGGGTCTCTGTGTGAGGCTATGGGTCTCTGTGTGAGTCGGTGGGTCTCTGTGTGAGTCGCATGTATAGGGTCAGCGGTCTACTTACTGTACTGCCGCCCATTTGTGGATTATCGAACTCCTATACTCCCCCCACACACACAGACCCCCCGTGTAGCCTGAACAGACTGTCGGGGCAAATGCTGTTAGCGAGCACCTATGAAAGCCGGTGTGGCACACGAGGGGTTAGGTGGCCAGCGCCACGCCCGGCCGCCTTTGTCTCCCCAGTGGCGACGTTTACACACCGCAGCAGCTACTCATTTGAGGCTGAGTCCACCTAGGGGGAGACCGGGTTCAGATAATCGTCGTACATGTTAGGATATCGTTTGTTGTTGGATTTGAATCACAGTTCTTATGATAACTGTTACACTGTTTTCGTGGCTTTATTTTGGTGATTTTGAGGACGGTTTGGTCTGGCCATGTTTGTTTGTTGTAGTACAGAGTTTCGCCTGATAACTTTAATCCACATTGGCTTATGGTTGT